AAAAAAAGGCAATAAATTCTGTTTGGCATATCATTAAAAGCCTTGAGGAAGAAAGTCCAGGATCAACTAAAATTCAGCATTTTTCTTGCCAGGAGGCAGATGACCAGTACTAGCAGATTACCAGTTAAAAAAGACCTGCCTCTGTCGAAAACCCCTCCTGACCAACCACACGTTTAGGCAAAGGCATCCAGAACGCAGCAACCAAAAAGCCAAAAACTAATCGTTCTCTTACTACTTAACACTTAAAAAAAAAAAAAAAAAAAGTTAAAGCCAGGAGCTCCCAGCAAAAACTGGGACTGAAAAATTCCAGCTCGGACTCCTCTCTCAAAGCCAAGTGGCGCGCTGGGCTAGGCCGCGCGGGTCCCAAACACAGGCCAAAGCGGCGCCCAGCTGAAAACACGTACAACGCAGGCCCAAAACTGCACTTTATCAACACCAAAAACAGGGTGGTGGAACTGCGCGCGGCCGCCGCTCGCGTTCGAGCTCCGCAGTCACCTGCCAACCTCCCAAAGCTGCTCTGAGGCCGGCGCGGGTTTGGGCCCGGGCTCGGAGGGACCCGTTAGAGCGGGTTTTGCTGTCATCCTGCCCATGAACCGGGCTCGATTTGKCGCATCGGCCGCGACACGAACGCGCGGGAGAGCTGAAGCCTCCCCAGGCCCTGCTGCGGCGCAGGGCGCTCTCGTTCTGCGGGGGGACATCGCTTCAGCTCCGAAAACCGCCGCCGACGCTCACGCTCTGCTAAAACCTCTCAGTGGGGAGGCTGAGCCAGGCTCGTCTCTCCCCGCGCACGCTCTGGAGCACCACGAGGACGGCCTGCAGGGCCGGGAAAGGCTCTAGCCCCGTGAGCGGCCCTGCAGAGCCCGGCGCTCAAGGCCTGCGGGCGCCTCTGTCCGCAAGGCGGCCGGTGGCGGCCCCCACGGCCGCGGGGTCCCGCAGGAGGCTGGAGGCGCCGGCCCCGTCTCGCCCGCCGTGCGCCCGGGGCCCAGGGGCCGCTCGGGGATCTGATGCAACAGCCGTGCGCGCGTGCGGCGGGGATACAGGTGAGGTCCAGGTCGAAGCCATCCTCCTGGTAGCGCCTTTTGTTCCTGCTCACGATCTCCTTGATGATGGCGGTCATGTCGGGGAGGCGCGGGCCGCTGCGGGACGGCGGGAGCG